TGTCCTCATGGCCCCTGGGCCCATGGGAAATCCTCAGGTGCATCGAACATTTAAGCACAGAAATCGTCCAAGTAACTCCTGGTTGGTGGTTGACCTACCCCTCTGAAAAATATGAGTTCGTCAGTTGGGATGATGACATTCCCAATATATGGAAAGTCATAAAATTCATGTTCCAAACCACCAACCAGTATTGTATGATGATTTAACTAGCAAAAATGGTGCTTTGATGGGGATATCATGGGGATTTGATGGAATATTCATGGGATATAGTGACATAGTACCCTCTGGTGTCATCAACCAGAGTATATTACTAATGACATGGTACATACATACATACATACATACATATACATATACATATATATATATATATGTATACATATTTGTCTATACAACCAGATCACCATCATATTCCCGTTGTTGTTGGTTTATATATAGCTTATTAACGAATGAGAACTCCACTCATTCTCGTGGCCTCCTTTGGAGATCCATAGAGCGTTAGGAGTCGATCGTACCTGCCGAAAGGTGATTTCTTGTTGAATGGGCGCGCCATCTGGTGACGCTGGGTATCCTCAAGTTATAATATTCATCACCGTTGAATGGAACCATGAAATGGTGATTACATGTAATTACTATTTATCATACATGATGATGATATGGTTGTCTTATTCATTACCATAAGTTGAATGGAACAATTATATAAATGGATATGGTAATTACTATTATAATGCATGATGATATGGTTATATATAGTTATATTATTCATTACCATAAGTTGAATGGTATTATATTCTACCATATCATCATTATGTATAATACCATATGGATACAACCATAATATGTAGTTATACATGACCACTATAATGTTGAATGATGTTGTGTATAACTCCATATAATTCCATATATGAATGATATGTTGTTACAGTATCAAATCAGGGTTTCGTTTGAAGGTGTTCAATATGAGGGCGAAGGAATTACCAACATAGACAGTCATTGGGAAATCTCATGGTCAATTGCGTGTTTGAAAAACACTCCGGGCATCAACCATGGCAGCCAGGGAATTCCCCTTTTTTTATGGAGCTTTTGATGGGCAAATCATCAGACATTTTCCACCGCCATGTTTGATTACCGGAGGGTATTTTCAAATGCTGGATTGTACCCAGCAGGTCTTGGTAAGCAGTCCTCTTGGATGGGAAAGTGGCACAGTGGCACCATGTTTTCCATCCTCTGTTTGCCTTCCAATCTGTCAGGGGGGTGTAATTTAAGTCATCCTTCCGCATAGGGAAACCATACCCTCTGGTAAACTAACATAACTATGGAAAATCACCATTTTTAATAGGTAAATCAACTATAAATGGCAATTTTCAATAGCTATGCTAATTTACCAGAGGGTAATCAGCATTGGAAAATTATCCCCCTCCAAACATGCGCCTCTGAAAAATTGAACACACAATGTGTCACAAATGTTCGATCATTTTGGAACTAGTCTGGGCAAGTACCTGAAGGTTTGCAAGTACAGGGTCCTTCCAGCAGAGTGCGGTGTGCAAGGATTCTTAAACCCTTAAAACCTCAGGCATCGCTTTGTTTCAGACAAACGTGCCATGTTTTCAATGATTCAATGGGTGGGTTGAGAAAATCTACAGGAACCCATTGATTTACCAGCCAACTATAGGGAGATGGACGATGGATTGCTGTACACCTTTGGAGGGTTGAATCCGAAATATTGCCAGATATTGCCAGTGATTGTTCCAAGTCAATGTATCTTCCAGGAAATGGATCTGTGACTTCATTTCATCTTGGTTGGCCAATGAATAATTTGAACTTGAAACATTGGCACTATGATCATCTATGATCTGTCTATGGTAGCGCATAAGCTTTCTTCTCGGCAATGCTTCAAGGTCCTCGTATCACCTTTTCTGTAAGCAGGAAAATCAACATCTAACAATTTTTCATCCCCGGATTGATAGCCCCTCCATCAAATTGGGGGTGCCCTCCCAGATAGTGATGATCTGCTACGAAAATATGATGGTAACCCAACAAATTGAACAGCCCAGGTGATTATTTGACAGTGGTGGTTGGGGACTCATCAAATCTGGACGCGTACTCTGTGAGATCACTATGTTCCAAGTCTTTAAGCACCCAATACTGTAGTTGGACGCCATTAGTTGGTGTTTTGTTGTTCTATATTTTCTGGGATGGTAAACGATGTCAACTGGTAAACCCATCTAAGATCGATAAAACATGATAAAACCCAAGACTTTCCAAGGAATCCGCAATTTTCCAAGGTTATCATGCTGCAGTCCTGCCTGCCACCTCCGCAAATGGCCCGAAGCACTCCAGCACGGTCAAAACCTACGGATATCACAACCGGTTCGCTCCATGCTCAACTGGGGCATATGGATAGCGTTGGGTGAGACTAGACCTTGAATGGCTTGGGGAGGGTAACTACCCACCATGCGAAACATACCTTGAACCTGCATCTTGTATCCAAAGAACATGTCATGGTGCGGTTGAAGCTCCCGCAGAGTCTTTCGGGATTATGAAACGAAGCCTCACTTTAAGTCTTTAAGTGGCCTTGCCAGTGCTTTGAAGCTTTCGCATCGTTTGGGATGAAACTGTTCACTGATTTGGGGGTCATGTCGCACAAGAACCTTGGAAAGCTCCAAACACAGCGCGCGCTAGGTCCACAACTACTGTACTGATTTCTCGGATGGAAATAGGTCGCACAGAGTCATATTCCTATTATGAATTATATAGTTATAATATGTTATAATATGTTAATCACTACAATTACTGTAGTATATAACCTTACTGGTTGGTGGTTTCAACCCCTCTGAAAAATATGAGTTCGTCAGTTGGGATGATGAAATTCCCAACTGAATAGGAAATCATAAAATTCCATGGTTCCAAAGCACCAAGCAGATCAGTAACAACAAAAAACAACAACAATAATCCCCTATTTTCACCAATTTCTATCACCCCCTATTTTCACCGAAAACCGCCTCACCTTCAAACACCACACCGGTGTAGTAAGCAAGGCCTGGCGCTGGGGAAACCATCGGGCTTTTCCACATCTTGTTGTAACAGTTTTAGCCTAGGGTACATCTATGAAATACCATCTGGTTATGACTAACATAGCCATGGAAAATTGCTGGCCCATAGAAATAGATGGTTTACCGAACTTAATAGCATGGGTGGATTTTCCATGGTGAACTGTTAAATAACCAGAGGGTATATGAAATGGGGGCCCATACTCTTGATATCCAGAGTTCCAATGGAAAAATTGGCTGCTGACTGTGATGACGGGTTCTTGCTGAACATCCGACTGTCACTGTCGCTTCTGTTCAGATTCAATATGGGGGGACTCAAGAAAGCAATCTTAGTATGTGTATATATATATAGTTATATTATATATATATATAGTTAATAAGTTATATATATATACTTATAAATAACTATATATAATTATATATATCTTATTAATATATACATAGTTATATATTAATATGCAACATGCCTATACATATGCATGATGAGCGCCTAGGCTGCATGGACCGCGACAGGGTTTCTCAATTTTGATATCGATTGCTTTGGATGTCTACGAGTCTAGGGGGCCCTCTGACAATAAGAATCATCAACATATCAAAGTATTGTATAGTAGCCACCCAAAAAGATAGGAACCATATATATATACATACATGTGTAATATACACAGTATATATATAAATATATAAGCAACTATGTTAAAAAGGATTAATCATCTCCTTTTCCATGTTTTTTTGGTTGCTTAATATGTTTTGCGAGATTTCATATAGCCCCAACACCACCGTACGCCGCGCCGTACCTCGAATCACAGAGGCATCAAACATGAGCCAATCTCCAAAGCCTCGCAGGTTCCGAGTCGCAGCTGGACCAAAGTGGAGGAAAGTTGGAGATGTTTAAGAGTGACTAATGTCAATGGGAATTCCAGGATCCTAAAATGGAGGTACTGTACCATATAAGGCCATATTTTGCTGGGGATATCCCCTTACATAGGCCTTACATAGGCCTTACATAGGCCTTATATATGGTAGGTACCTCCAATTTAGGATCCTGAAATTCCCATTGATAATGGTTACAATAATGGTCAATAAGTATAATCAACATATGGTTCTAATGTTATATATAAACATATATATTGTAAATATATAAACATATGGTTCTAATTTAATTATAACATTATTAGTTCAGTGACTAATGGTGACTAATGGTTACAATAAATAATGGAGAACCATAAGTAACCATAAGTATAATATCCCCATAATTATGGTTTATAGTTAATCATATCCCGATTATAATATAAAAATAATGGTTGGTGGTTGACTCACATTGACCTACCCCTCTGAAAAATGATGGAGTTCGTCAGTTGTTCACCTTATTCCCAATGGAAAGTCATAAAATTCCATGGCCAACCAGTCACCACCAACCAGATATCAACCAAGCCATTGGTCGAGGCTGCGAACTCCGAATTATGAAACTTTGGGAACTTTGGGGATTTCCATGAAACACTTAAGAAACACTGGGATTATCTTATGCTTGGTGGCGAACTACCCACGGCTCGTGGTTGTGGGTTAGTGAACTACCCAGTGATTGACATGGGATAAGGAGCGGGTTAATCCACTTATAATTGGGCTTATAACCCACTTACGAGCCGTGGGATGAGCCACCAAGTGGGATTATCTTATGGGATTTCTACCATCAACTGGTGCAGGAAAACTCGCAACCACTGATGGGAATAGAACCAAACCAGTCTCTTGAGATACATCGACCAACTGACCACCAGTTAAAACATTACAACATATGACAAATATAAAACTCTGGGTATACGATGGAATACGTAGGGGGGAACATGGGGAACGATACCATGATATACATATAGATAATTATAGATAAAGATATACATCTAGATATACAATATAGATATTCATATAGATATTCATATACTCTTGCTTTCTGTTGTTTTATGCCCATCTCTGATGTCGTGCATAAAAGGCATCTTTCACCTTAAGGGCACCGGAAAACAACACGACGCCTTCATCCTCTGCCAGTTTGAAGAGCAATCTCAGCTCCTTCACCTGGCAGGTGAGACCTGTCGGACCTGTCGGAAAACTTGCTGCAACTCAGCTGATACAACTGGCTGGTGATTGATTGAATAAGAAGTAGAAAGTTGCCTTGATGTAACTTGATGTAGAAGATTCTTAGAAGATCAGAGATCAATTTATAAATCCAACTTGATATACCTTGATCCCATCGCTGTGTCCTATCCCAGTACCGTACCCTGCTGCCTCGTCGCTTTCTCCCACCTTGGCACTGGCTTGGATCAATCTGAAAACTGGCAACTCTGCGACTCACCTCGTTATTTGTTTATCAAATAAAGTAACACCATATGGGTGAATGTGGATACAGTAGAGTACCAGTAGTACCGCACAAGGCGGTGGCGGAAGTTTCAAAAAGAGGAAACCTATAGGAGAAGTTGGTTGTTGTGAATCAGGGATGGCAGAGCGAAGCCACTGATTGACCGAAAGGTGGTTGGAGTTGTGTTTGCTGGCATGGTTGCAATGGTTGCAGTGGTCACCTCACCCACAACTGCTGGATGTAGTGTGATGTACTGCAACTGTAGTTGTAGTTGTAGCGTAGTGGAGTTGTAGTTGTGGTGTAATGTAATTAGTGTAGTGTAGTTGCAGTCATATGGTTGTAGCT